GCAATCCTTGTTTAGCATGACACATTTGGGCCAACACATGCAGCTGAAACTTGGCAGTCTAGGTACCCTGCAAAGTTTAATTCTGCATAGACATGTTTACCTTTTTGTTAGCTACAAAACACATTTGAAGGGTTATGCCAAGTACTGTGCTCTGATAACTGGATCTGTAGCCTTGCCAATTTGGAAACTTAAATGGCTGATGGTTTACACATCAAATTTGTACCGCAGTACAAAACTGAAGTGGGTATGAAGCTTTCCCTGTTGCTCATCTCTGGCCTAGGCCACGTCAATAAAACTCCCAAGAGACAGTAAATTAAACTGTCAATAGATACCAGTTTAATAAGGTCAGATATGTTGTGTACTTCTAGAAGTTTTAGTAAGCATTCCTATAGCTGCTGGTTAATTTGAGTTTATAACACTCTGGTACACTAATACATACACCCTATTGTATGTATTTATCTTAAATTGTATGTGCTTCAAAAATGGATTAGGTGACTTTTCATAGTAGTTTAACTTCTAGTAATTCCTTCCAAAAGCACCAAACTTTCCTAATGTGCCATCTTTGTACAGATGTCCCTTTCTGGATCCATACTCTTTATTCTTGGTAAGACAGAGTTGGAAAACATAAAAAAAAACCAAAAAAACAAACCTGTGCAGAAGTGGATTGGTTTCTGGAATACCTATTGTCTTCCTAATTAATCTAAATGTTTTGGACTATAAATCTATACCAGCTACTACTCTGAGAAAGGGTGGCATAATGATTTGATATGTGAGGGTGTAAACTGCTGACAGTGAAAGAAATAAATTCTTCTTTTATAAACTTCAGCGATTCACTTATTAAATAATTTACTTCATTGTAGCACTAAGTCACACTATAATGCAGTGGTTGCACACAAGGCAGCTGCTGGACATAGACCTGTAGAACTTCTTTCATAGTTAAACCATAACCAATGCTTACTGTCTGAATATTGCAAAAGCAGTGTTTTTGAAAAAGCAGAGATTTTACTTTCTCATTTGATAGAATACTTTTATGTGTAATATATTCCAAGTTATTATATAGTTGATTTTTAACCAATTATCAGCGTGCAAAACACATTGTCATAGTACTGGTAACACTTTGTATGTAGTTGCAGACTTTAAAACATTTATAATCTCTTTTTTTTCCATTAGATCTTATTCCTTTCTAGTGAAAGGATTATATAGGAATTAGACAACTCTCATTTCAACCCTTTTTTGTGCAAAAAAGAAAAGATTTTTGTGGTCAAGAGGAAAAAATTTTAAAGGCTCAAGAGAATAAATAAGATTGTTAAAACCAAGGCTTCCAAACCTTAGAAGTAGAATCAACTTAAATCAGTTTTGGAAATGTTTAATTGCTGTCAGTACTTTACTGAAGAGAATTTATTTAGAGCCAGCTAACACTGCATCATCACTGCAGCCTCCTGCTCTCAGCCTAATGCTATCTTTTAAGCATTGCTGCCAAAGGATTTGTATCTTGTTATCTCATAATGCTGGTTTCATTGGTTGATATGAACAACAAGCTGACTCACATGAAGATACACAGCTCCTCCTAGTTGGGCAAAAGACACTCAATGCCTCGACAGGAGGAGTGGTTTTAATATGAACCTGGGCTTTGTTGTAAATCAGATAATCAATATGAGAGAGGGAATTATGAATCCTTGCAGTTCACAGCCAACCTGATAGGCAAAGCTAGGTTCACTTCCTGTTTATTTTGTTGGTTTTTTTCAGTGTCTGGCGCAGAACTACCATCACTCTGTGCAAGAGCAGGGCTTAGGGTTGTGTCTGAAATGTCCTAACACAGCCCTTCATTCTTCATGATGGCTTTTCCTAACACAGCAGAACCAAAAATTGCTTGCCCTTTTCTAAATAGCAAAGGTCAAAAGTAAGTGACACTATAGTGTGACACTTATATTTTTATCCTCAGATTTGTATTACCCTGAAAAATTATGATTTTTATTGCCATGACAAATTATATTGCATTTATGATCATGTGTGATTTTGTATGAGTCATCATGTCTGAGTTTTGCAGTTTAAAAGAAGCACAGATGTTGGAATGGTGTTTTCTGGCAACATTTCACTGCCTTTATGTCTCTGAACATTATTCTCTGGGTTTGAAAAATGTATCAAGAAAACATTTTTGTAGACATGGATGCTCTAAATATTTGTTTCTTGAAGAGTTTTGGAATTTCTGATCTGCAGAACATTTGTTGGTGGCCTTCAGACAGCTGGCTGATCATGTTGAGCAGGCACTGCTCCGGACACTTTGTGCTTACAGGATGGTATCTCATCCAGTTCTGCAGAGTAGACACAATGTGTGGCTGCAAATGGAGGTAGGGAGTTTTGTATATTCACTGTGATACAACCATATTATAAAAGCACTTGAGAACTTCCATTATATTATTAAACATGGCTAATGCTCCCTGTAATGAAATTATAACCACCCAGGCCTTCTCTCTCAATTAAAAAAAAAAAAAAAGTGAATAAACAAACCACTACTTTTATATGGTTTTATTTGCTCCTTTGCATATCCACTCTACTCTCAGGATTTTCAGGGTGTTTTGTGTGTTTGTTAGGTTTCATCTTCTTCAGTTGTATGAGATGGCATTGTGGTGGTCTAATACATGAGATGTATTTTAATAGATATTTCCCTAGCCTAATTATTGAGGATTTGATGATATAATAACAATTTAATTTATCTTTAATGTTGTGACTTTGGGTAAATTCACATCTGAATGATATGGACTTTAAAAATAACTTTTCAGGCTTGAAAATTGGTGACAGTATAACCCAAGAATTTCTGTAGGCTAGCCCTTCATTTCTGAATCCTTCTCTGCAGAAAGAACAAGAAACTGGGAACAACAAAATTACTCCAGGAGGCCTAGTCCTGAGAAGAGGTCGAACACTGCTGTTACAAGGAACTAGAAGTGTTTTGCACCAGTTTCGTAAAACAGGGTTCCAGGTAGGGATGCTTGCTCTGGGGGAAAATGGGTCTATGTCCTTCTGACCCTGAGCTGTAATTTAGCTAATTAAGTGAAAACCAAAAGCAAATTCTTTCATTGTTGGATACACCTCAAGAATAGCATCCCTCAGTATGAATTCTTGGGAGAAAGATGACAAACTGTCAGCACTAGGTAAAAATTATGGGTTTTTTTCAAAGGATACATAAGTGAAGGGTGTGACTAAGTAGTTGAGACTTCCAGGAAAGAGAGAGTCAAGAGATGAATCAGCAAACATGAAGGAAGAATAGCTAAGAGGCCAAAAATCAGACATCTGTTATGAGATATTGTTTTCTTGTCTTCCATTTCCACCAATACTCTCCTTTCTCAGGCTACTTTGTGTTCTTCTTTTGGGAATGTAGTGATTAGAAATATTTGACTATTCAAAGACATTGATTCAGAAATGAGGAGAGAAAACAAAAATATGCCATTAAATAAATTATTATGCTTATTAGTGTAAACATAATACTATACTATATTTATAATTTTCACTCTTTGTTTCCAGTCTTCTTCTATTTTTTTTCCTTTCTTTAAATAGGTTATCTAATGCATCCTGATGTAAAAAATTAACAGAATTTTTACTGGTTACTTGAACATATTAACACATTCCTATTCTTTTTTCTTTTTTCTTTTTTTTTTTTTCTTTATGTGAAGTGTAAATTTTTATAAATAATCTTTGTAGGGAGCCATGTCTGTAACTTTTACTACTGAGAGCGACTCAGTAGTAGTCCTTCTCAAATAAGGGAATTTAGAGTAGCAATTAAGAGGCAGGACGTTGTGTCAGCCAACCTTAAATTAAAATTGTTTGAAATAGTTTGAAAATTAGAGCTGCATGCCCTCTCTGAAGACTTGAAAGACAGGAAAAGTGCTGAGAAAACAGATGTGGTAGGGAAGAGGAAGAAGGGAAAGAGAAAAAGTAGGGATAGGTGGGTGATTGTAGACCAGTCAACTATCACCAATTTCCAGATAAAATCTGGAATAAGGATTCTAAATACATATAAGTACTTGAAAGATCAAAATGAGATTAATTATAATCAGCAAGTTGTGTTGAGCCAATACTATTTCTTTCTTTGTTAGGACAATGTCATTTGAACAGAGAGGAAGTGTAAATTTAATCTGCCTTGGCATTATTAGGGCTTTTGATACTGTTATTTATGACAGGCTTGTACAGTAAGGGAAATAGGGCCAAGATAAGATATAAATAGCTGTGTGAGTGACCTAGAATTAAGATTTCAAACAAACGTCTCACTAAGAACACTGTCAAAAAAGTAGAAAATATATTTTGGAAGGGTGTGTTTTGTGTCCCCTGCAAACCCATGTACTGCCTATGTAATGAAGAGTGTGCCATGGCACTGTGAGGGGTGTAGTGCATGCTGGAGGACAAATACTGCAAAAAGCCTCAATGAGCTAAGGTAGTTCTGGGAGCAGTATAAGGAAAATAAGCATTTCAATAAGAAGATGTGAAAGATCTGCACCTGGTAGCAGTGAGCCAATACAAAGCAAAATACAGAGTTGTGTGTGTGACTGAAAAGCAAACATTGAATAAACATTGACCTTTCCTGTGCCATTTCTTTCTGTGCTTTTCCCATTACAATATGTATGGACACTGTATTTTCTTTTGTCCTTTATGAGCTTTGAATGATGGGTCTGCCTTTGTACATTCTGACAGCCTCATTCTGCCCTTCATGCTTCAAAAAGATTTTTGCCCCTCAATCATTTCCTGTCATATACTTTCTTCTTGAGTTCAGATGATTGAGGACCCACAAGTGATCTCTTTTTAAGTTTCATCTTCTTTTTCACTTTTTTTAAGATGATTCATTTGCTTAATTTTTTTGGAGGTGTACTTCTTTTCTGCAGTGAAATATAATTGGTTCCTTTGAAGTGGTGTCTTCTGTCTTGGTGTCCCTTGCTCCTCTTCCTCTTTTTTTTTTTTTTTTTTTTTTTTTTTTTTTTTTTTTTTTTTTTTTTTTTTTTTTTTTTTTTTTTTTTTCTTTCCCAGAAATGCCAAGCTAGCCTATGATTGTTCTGCTACTTGACCCACCTGTGTATGCACAGGTGATTCTCCTGGCAGTGCTGCTGACCATTGGAAGTCTCCTCTCAGAGTGTGCTCTCCTGGCACAGGTAACAGGACCATTTCCCACCCACCATGCTTGCTCTGCCACACATTCAGCCTTCATCAATTACCCAATACATTCTCAGCTATCCAGGCAACCACACTTAGTATGTCCTACATTTAGGGGCTTCCATTCATATCCCTGCATCTCTTTCACTGGTACAGATGCCTGAAGTGTTTTGTAAAAGGACTGTTTGTTTTCATTCCCTTGCCAGCTTGTATTTTAAGGAATTTTATTTTAGGAATAATTGTGCCAGATCACTTTCTCATTTCTAGGCAGAGAGAATTGGCAGTTCATCAGTAAAGACACTACCTGTGGAGAGAGGAGATATTAGTGTTAAGGTACTGTTGAAATACAGACCTGGAGGGAGAGGACTTGGGCATACTCAAGAAAATAAAAGTTGACAAGAACTGATGCATAGAGTTGACATCAAGAGAACAGAGATCATTCGGAGCAAAAGGAAGTGAAGTGGCTGATTATTGCCTACCAAAGAGGAAGAATAGGATTTACTCATAAGTAAATCTAGCGACTGAACACAGTGGGAAAGAGCTAGATAAACCAATGGGTGACTGATGTTTGTAATTACTTTGCAAGTAACTTCAGGCTAGATTTTTGAAGATGGCTTCTAACCAAGGGGAAAAAAACTCCATATTTCTGTGTATTAGACTTTAGCCTATGTTGTGGCAGAGATAAAAAAATATTAAAAAGAAAAAAAGGTGTGGTAACAATATGAAAATACTGTTGCTAGGAGGCTAATGGAGACAAAATAAAATGTACTTTTCAGTCCTGAACTACAGGAAAGATTTTCAACACACTACAGTCTGTCTCTCATACTCACTATTTTCTTTTTGTTTTTTGATACAAACACTTTTATATCTCCTACATAATTAAAAGCAAGGACAGATTTAATGAAGCCACACTAATGTGTTTGCTGATTCTTTGGAGTTAAAAGAGTAGATTTCTGAGGAGAGAAAAGATCATTTATTTGATGCTAATGATTATTTAAAGAATTAACTAGTAGTTCCTAGTTATATTTAGTTTTGTCCCCAAGAACTGATAATTCATCTTAAAATCAATGGTTGCCTAGTGATAAGCAATTACTATATAATTTTATTACTTGCAGACAAATATTGTCTTGGCCTGTAATGATGGGCAGAAGTTTAAAGTTGTGATTTTATCAGAGTTTTGGAGGTTTCAGCAAGACATATGCATTGCTTTTGACATTCCTGTCAGCCTCTCACAAATTTCTTGTTAGGCACGGAACAATTTCCATTATGTAATTTGTGTTCTTATTTAAGGGTGAAATAAGGATGCAGACATGGATTTTCATTTTGTTTTGGCTTTCCTTTTTTAATTATCTCATATTTTAAAAATATTTTTGTAAGAAAAATATAGTTCTGTGCAAGTCATCTTTGCTGAGAGCTTTGGATGGCTGAGAACCAGCAATTCTTCCAGAATCAGTGTTTACCACTTAATTCTTCCAGTTCATCTGAGAAAGAGGGTAAGTCCCTGTGTAGATATGAATTTGCTGAATGTGAGCTGCCTCTAAATACTGAAAGAAAATATTGCAAAGGCCAGTCACAAGAACTATAATGAAATGAGTTCTTATTGAAACCAATGAGTTCTTATTGACTGAGCATCTTTTGTGCTTTCACAGATTTGACTTATTGCAAGCAGCACTTGTTTTTCTGAAAATTGAAAGTGAAAATAAAGCACATAATGAATGTAAGAAAAAAAGTGCAACCAACATAGCAGCCTCAGTTTATGAGAAGCAGCAATTTTCAATATATGTTTTTTTTCTCTGCCAGCTTTCACTACTACAGAAGTTTCAAAGCCAAATTATTACATTCTCTTAAGGAACACTACTTAGCACTGTTATTACTATTTACTTTATTGCTGGCATGAGTGCTTACACAGTAAGAAGGATTAGGCTAACCAAACAGTTCAACCTGGGATAATCAAGTAGCCTGCTGTGGATTGGATTTGGATTAAATAGACATTTGCAGGACTAGAATACATGTGGGAGGTGTTGGAGGTGTCCAGTCTCTCTCCAGGAGCATTCATTTTACTTATTTTGGCTGAACTTTTCTAGGAAGCAGCTGATGTATTTGCTCTCTTTGCTGTCATGGAGGGAAAAACAACATTTTACTGTGCTGGAAACATTTCACCAGCTCAGTAGAGGCCTGCAGAAGCTGGGAAAAATGCATGCTCCTGTGTAAAGTCATACACCTCTCTTACTGTCAGTCAAATAGATTTTTCTTTTTTAACTTTTAAGTTGCAATACCTATTGCCACTTATAGACAAAAATTAAACACATAATATAAAACTTGCTTTAGTTTATTAATGAAGAGTAAGACATTAATGAGTGGCATTTTAAGTGCTGCAGCACAACGCTGTATTATATCTGTAATGCCATCTCTTTCCTTTTTGTATATATAAGGCTGCACAACTTGCTTTTTTAGAAACAGTTTTTGTATAAAAAATTGACTTCTATTGTGGGCTTTACTTTGAGTGCAGTGAGGAACATGGCATATGGTAGAATCCTAGCCTTAAAAAAATGTTGCTTGTTTTGACATGCCATACCAATTAATACCTCATATAAAAATCATATAGAAAACTTCATCTCATAGTGAAACAGCAATTTTCTCACCAGTCAAGCACAATGGGGGAATCCTCTTGTAAGGATTTAAGTCTAAATAATGCCTTTTCCTCCCCCTGGTTCTTGTTTTACTTTGCATTTTTTTCTGCTTAATAAAGGAAATAAAGGAGTTCAGATCATGAAGGACATAAAATAAACATGAGCATTTAGTAAGATGATGTCATCTTCATATTTTATGGATCCATGGAGATAGCTGAATCGAAACACAAAGGAAGAAAAGGAAAATACTTATTATTTCTGTATCTGACATTAGCTATTCTTACCCCATTGCAGCGTCACTTTTTATTTCACTCATGAAAGAGATACTTTAAAAAACATTTTGAAACCACAAGAATGAAATATAACTATTATCTTTGGAATTGGTTCTGCTTATCCTAGAGGTAGACCTTTGTGTGATGCTGTGTGCGGATGGAGAACTCTGTCAAGAGCATCTTCCTTCTTCAGGTGTGGTGCATGCAGGAGCTAGAGGTGGAAGGTGAGTGTCCCATAGGCAGAGCAGGGCAGTGCTGAGGGAGGAAAGGAACCTTCTGGAGCTTTGCTGAAGGCTCATGAAGAACTGGAGCATTATGTTGGTGAGTGTGGTGGTTCAGTGTAGGAAGACAGTGCAGATAAAGGAACTATCTTTATTTTTAGAAATCAGAGTGTGAGGTTTTTTAATCTGCTTAATGAAAGATTTTTATCTTATTGATCTATAAAGTTCAGGGCTGGGAATATGTAAACGTCTAACCAGTGCGTGGTAAAACCTTGCCTATGGTCATGCTCCACGAGATGGAGCCAGAACTGTCTTTAACACGGGGAAAGCCGCAGCCGGGGTCTCTGCCCGCGGCGCTGCCCTCGCCTTGCGCTTTACCCACGGAGCTGCTGCTCGCCCTGCCCCTCACACCAGGGCAGCCCGGCTCCACGGAACGAGGGACACGCTCTGATCCACCCCGGCTGCCATCGCCTCCTCCTCCTCCTCCTCATCCTCCTCCTCATCCTCCTTCCTCTGCGCTCCCGTGCTGAGGAGATGCCGGCAGCGCAAAGAAACCCTGCAAAGACACCAGCGCCTCGCTGCTGGCAGCCCTGGGCAAAGGATGCCGTCCCCTGTCTGCATCTGCAGTTTATTGTTCGGCTTAGCTGAGGCAATAACGCATGAGAAAAACTGGGGGTGAAACTGGAAGTAAAATATGCAACACCTGGCAGTGCAACAGAAAGTAAGAATACTTTTTGGGTCATTGAGTTGCATGTGGAAAGATACACTTCCTACTGACTTTAACAGAAACAACAAAGCCTCTAATTGGAATCCTTCTAGGAATACATGTGCTACATGGAAAAAACCCAGACCCATAAAATCACATAGTGGGTGATAATGGATTTCAGAACAACTTGGAGTTTTGAAATTGACTGCAATGAAAATTAACTGATCTGAAGTAAGAGTCAGTGATACAAAAAAATACTACTGCTAAAAAAAACATCCTTTGGCAAGTAAGTGTCCCTTAAGGAGGTCAGCTGGAACTGCTGGTTGAACACATGAAGCTTAAACTGAATCCCATGCTAGAAATGTGGAGCTGAGCAAGGCTGTACACTGAGGGGTGTCTGTGAAGATGCCTTTCCAGGAAGGTTTCTGAGTCAACAAGTGTCCAAAATCTGAGACAGCTCTGCAAGCAGGAAAGCCTGAATGAAACATTTTTGAAAACTTTTAAATGAACAAAATATAAAAATGCCATTGTTTTAAAGTAAATTGTTTCAAGCAACAACAGTCTAATTTTTGCAGGGAAAAAGATTATTTATTGCATCACTGTATTTTACAAATCAAAAAACCCTATTCTTCAGGATCTGACAGTCACATGTGTGAAAGAGAGCCAAAACCCCTCAGTTACAGAATCACAGGATGGGTCAGGTTGGAAGGGACCACAGTGGTCATCTGGTCCAGCCTCCCTGGTCAAGCAGGGTCAACCCAGAGCACATGACACAGGATTGTGTCCAGATGCTTTTTTAATATCTCCAGTGAGGGAGACTCCACAACCTCTCTAGGTAAGGTGTTCCAGTGCTCAGTCACCCACACAGTAAAGAAGTTCTTCCTCACATTCAGGTGGAATTTTCTGTGCATCAGTTTCTGCCCATTGCCTCTTGTCCTGTTGCTTGGCACCACTGAGAAGAGCCTGGATCCATGCTCTTGCCACCCCTCCCTTCAGTCACTTACAGACATGGAGGAGTCCCCTCACTCAGCTGCTCTGCCACTGCATCGACTGTGAATGTCCAGTCAGACTTGTTGGCCTGAGCCTGGTCTGATGGACGTGACTGCCAGAGCTGAGGGGCATTAATAGCTAATTAAAAGAGTGAATGAAAAATTTTGTCTTAAGGCAGGGGATATGTTCTGGATTGTAGAGTATGGTTTTCATTTATTTGTAGAGGGATGTGAAGGTATGTAGATGTACAAACACTTGCTGCATCACACTCCAGGGTGGAGTTGTTATTGTGTCTTCCTTGTGCTGTGGTGGGAGAAGGGTGAAGCACTGGCAGTATCTTCTTTGTTTGTCTCCTAAAAACATCACTTGACATATGTAAAACTAACCTAGTCATCACCACAAACTGAATTTGGTGACTTTTGCCAAGACAAAAAAGCTTTTTTGTTTGTATGCCTCTCATGATGTATGCTACTGCTGATATCTCCACCACTTTGCCCTTTGGTCCGCTAGAAGCAGCCAAATACTGAAACATTATACCCATGAGGATTATGCAAACAAAGGGAATATTTACATGTAGAGAATAATATTGACATTTGGATCTGCCTTACAGTGTTCCCTCAAATTACACTGAGCAAGAATATATTCAGGCTTCTTTGTTAGATTTGCATGCTGTATGAATTATGACTGATTCTTAAAAATATGAGGTGCATTACTAGTAAGCTCAGACACCAAGTAATGTGTGGCTAAAATTTGTAGTCAACTTATGGTTGACAGCTAATGCAAACAGCTGGAATACTGTATAGAACCAAAATACATTGAAAGTGTCTCATGCCCAGCACTCAGAAAGTGCACTCAGATTTTTCTTCAGCCAGCTTATTTCATTGAAAACAACCCTTAAGCATAATTTATCCTCTTTTTAATGTTAGCAATCCTATGACAAATGAGAGAGCAAATGCCTTAATTGTTAGGTAAAAATAACATTTTGTCTGACAAGGAAAGAAATATTTGCAAAATACCGATATGGGTGGGTTGTGTTTTTTTTTTTAAGATTGCTGTTATATAAATATTACAAAATCGTAAAGCAAACACTTTCAATGAGAAATAGCTTTCATTTGTTCTTCTTTCTTTTTTTTAGTTCATTAAAAAAAGGAAAAAAACCCATAGGAAGTCAAGGGTTAGCAAATATACTGGTACATTTACTGACCTCTTTTTTTTTAAGTGACAAAGGCATAAGAGACTATACTGACTTTTATGAAAGAAGAGATCCATGGGGAAAGGTTTCTTTCTCATAGACAGGAAACTATCCAATTCAACCATTAAAGGTAGTGAAGGAGGATGTTTAGCACATGTTATCCCAAGGAGTCAAAAGCAACCTCAGGCTGTTACTTCTCTAAGGCTAAAAGTGTACTTACACAGAATATCTCGTTTACAGAAACTATAAAACATTTCAATGCACTCAGTTTAATCAAATAAGCTAGGTACTTATTAGTGTTTCAAGGTAATATTTTTGAAATATTTATTGTTTTGCTTTCAGTATTTATTTTTCTCACTATGCACATAATCCCAAATTTCACATTCTGATTACTATACTACATAACTCTCCATGACTTCTCTATAGTACAAGGCTCTCTGTTAATCAGTTTCTTATGCAAAATGCATAAGTTCCCAAGGCATACCTGGATATAAAAAATAATTATAGATAATCAATATTTACTAAAGCAAATAGTAAAAATTAGAGGTCTCTAAGAATTATAGGTCTAATGATAGTACAGAAAATACTACTAAAGCTCATTATGTAAACACAAATGATGGTACTCTAGGATAGATAGATAGATGGTTAACCTGTGAAATTAAGGAACCTAAGACTCAGCATGCTACACATTCCTTTAGAGAAGAAGAAAGTACATATTATTTAAAAAAAAACAACCCTGACTTTAGTGAGCAGAGGCGACATCCAGAGTAGTAGGTACCTGTTAGAAGCTTGTCTTTATTTTGTAATAGAGCCTTACAATAGGTTGAATGGCTACACATGTTCTCTTTTGTTTGTTAAAACTTCTCTTAAAAAGGCAGCCAAATCAGTTGTCAAAAAAGTTTTTATTAAAAAAAGTATTGTAGCTTCATTTGGGCAGTGGTCTCATTTAGTGGAATTCTAATGAAGCTCACTGTCATGGTTTGACACTGGCACAATGCCAGTGCCCCCATGAAAATGTAATCTCTCAATTGAATGCTGTGAAATGGAGTTGAGAACAGAGCAAAGCAGGCCCAAACTTAATAACAAGGGAAAAAAAAAACAAAACATTTATTAAGCTATTACTACAAAAGAAAGAAAGGAAGGAAAAAGGAAAAAAAACACACAAATATCAAAATGAAAATCTTGCAAAGCATTCCTCCTCCCACCACCCAACTCCAACAAACCACAGTGAGACAAAATCTGGACCCCAATCATGTTTCCACTCCCCAGACAATCGATATTCACTCTATTGTGGGAACAGAGTCTCTCCTGTGCCACAGACCCCCAAGAATACACAGCTCCACATCCTATGTTTCCATGTCACACATGGCACTGCCCAGAGAAAAGTTTGCCATGGTGACCCTTCTCCTTTCCATGCACAGTGCTCTCACCACCAGTGCATGGATGGATAGACTGCTTTTAGGATTTTTTCCTTTCAAGGATGCCCTGCCAAGAGGGGAGAAAACAACAGTTCAGTTTTTCATTTTTTGGGACCACAGTCCCCCCCATTTTTCCCATTTCCCCTGGGGCCGAGGGTCCAAGAACAGAGATCTTCTTCTCTTCTCCTTCTTTTGAGGACAGGGGGCACCACCACAAACCCCCTAACTTTTCCTCTGTTCGCTCCACTTCTGTCTTTTCCCAGCTGAAGCAGGTCTCTTGACTTTGCTCTGGCATCCTCCCAAAACACAGTCTCTCTTGAAGGAGAAGATTGGTTCAGGTTGTGGCTAACACGGAAAAGTCCAGCCAAAAGCCACTACTTGTCCCCATCCCATCTAGAATTCCTCCTTCTAACATCCCAGGGTCCAAGTTGTCCCTCTTCCTCTCTTTCAAACCGAGGAGGGGGAAAAGAATTCAAAAAGCTTTAATTTCCCAAGGAAGGGTTAAAAGTCCGAACTCCCCGGATGGCTCGATGCCCAGGCTCCGGTGGCTCCCACGCACTGGGCACCTTGCACCCCCCCCCAGCTCCTCCTTCCCCGCCGTGAAACTGCTGACAAAAACTACCGCTGTCTCTCTCTCTCTCCCTCTTGGGAGAGAAACTCTGCGGGGGGAACAGAGACATCCCA